AAAAAATGCTTTCCTCCATGAAGATCTGACTGAGGAGATTTACATGGACCTTCCACCAGGGTGCAGTGATTCGGACAGACGGAAACAAAAGGTATGTAGGCTCAAGAAATCACTGTATGGATTAAAGCAGTCTCCTAGAGCCTGGTTTGGTAGATTTACCAAGTCCATGAGGGCATTTGGGTATATACAGAGTAATTGGGATCACACGTTGTTTCTGAAACACCAGAACGGAAAGGTTACGGCTCTAATCGTTTATGTGGATGATATGGTGGTTACTGGTGATGATCCTGTTGAGCAAGCAGCCTTGAAAAGTTATTTGTCCACAGAATTTGAAATGAAAGATCTTGGTCCTTTGAAATATTTTCTTAGGATTGAAGTATCAAGATGCAAGTCCGGGATATTTCTATCACAAAGGAAGTATGTTCTTGACCTATTGGAAGAAACCGGTATGACAGCATGTAAGCCGGTGTCTACTCCGTTGGCCGAAGGAATGAAGTTGGTGATAGGAGCATATTCATGCGACTTAATTAGCTTGTTCTCATGCATTTATGTTGTGTTTACTTATCTATTTCAGTGTTTAAGGCCACTTTTGTGTATTTTCAGATTATAAGGCCAAAGTGTGCAAGAAGATGCAAATTGGAGTCTTTTGGAGCGAAAGAGGAATGAATGAGTTGAAGACTTGAAGAAACGACGAATTCCTACGCCAACGATGAATTCTTACCAAAACGAAGAATCCTACTCAAACAAGGCTTCCTATTTTAGGAAAGTTGACCCTAAGTTTCCCGTTTTGGTAACCTTTCCTAATCTTAAACGTCCGCATTTTCTAGCCACTTTGAAGTCCTTGTAGGCGCTTTAGGACACAAAACGAAGGCCCTAGGGCCCTTAACACCCAATGCCGTGGGCCTTAGCCCAAGTCCTTTCCCTTGCCGTGCAAGGGGGGGCATTTTGGGCCCAAGTTATGCATTAAACCCTAGCTTTTAGCCTTGCAGCCGCACCCTAGCTTTAGTATTCATTTCATTCAGATTTTAACCCTTTTTATTTTACCCTAGTCAACCTAATTCACCATAAACCGTCCACCATCCATTCATGCATCAAATCATCTCAGCCATTCATTCCTAAACCCTAAACTAAACCCCAAAGCCGTGCATTCCATCACATAATTACCTAGCAGCCGCATTCTCCCATCCACCATCCATCAATCCTAAGCCTTCTAGTTCTAATCTCAGCCATTCACCCTAATAACCCTAGTTTTACAACCTAGCCGCACCCTTTGTATTCACTTTTATTCAGAAATTCATTCAGCCACATTTACATATCAAACCGTGCAATTCCATCAGCCATTTAACCTAATTCCCTTGCAGCCGCAAGCCCCCATCCATATTTCACCCTAAAGCTTTCTAAATCCATCTCAGCCACACCCTTTAATTCACCCTAGAATCTCATCCATTCATTAATAATTTTCAGCCACCAACATACACATATTTCACCCTAGCCGAATTCTCTCATTCCATACAACAACCAGCCACCATTCCCTCCATTCTCTCCCATTCTATTCCATCCGTAGCCACCATCTCAGATTCTATCCATTCCAGCCGCCTTCTCCACCATAGCACCACCATACAACCCTTCCTCCATCACTCCACCACCTTGCCGCACCACCAAACAACCCTAAACCTATCTATAACCCAGAAATTCACCCAAAATCATCCTAAAACCAATCTGCCGCAAAAGGAGAAGAGGAAAGAGGAGCTTCGACGCGCACCAATTCACGTGAATTCGTTGGGCGTTCTAGGTGTAATCATTCCTTTGTGCTTTATGTTTAAATTCAATTGTAATTCTCTTTTTGTGACTATGAGAGGCTAAATCCCCCTAGTTAGCTAGGGGGTGATTCGAAACCATGTTTATGCTTGCAATATGAATTGATTACTTTTGGTTGGAATTTCATGAATGATTGATTCAATTCGTTTAACTGTGTGATTGATAACTTGTTTGTGTATGTTTATTGAGAGTGCACGCTTAATGTTCATGCATGAATTTGACGCTAGAATATAAGTGAGTTTCACCTAATAGTTACGAACTTATATTCACAAGTAGTGGAGGTTGCTTATAAACAATCGCGTTAATTGAATTCTTGGCACTAGTTTCATGCTCATCATAGTAACGAATGCCTCGTCAACACTTATAGTTTTCATGATGCTTAATGATCTTTGATTGTATCTTTATTGTGCTTTTCACGTAAAGGACTTTTAGAGAATGTTGTGAATTGCGTTGCGCTAACCCATCCAATTCATTAACTTAAGGAAAACTTGACGGTTAATTTAAGCGGACCTAATTAACCCGAAGTGTTGAGTTTCATAATTCATCGAAAGACCAACTGAAAATCAAAGTGTTTGCAAGTGTGACATGTGTGGAGAAAAACCCCTTAGCTATTCCATCATCCATATTTCATCAAATTTATATTTAGAATCTGCTTTAAACTACAATCTGTGCATTTTAATTAAATTCGTCAAAAACTCAATCCCCCCCTTACTTTTGTGTCCAAATTAGTTAGAAAGTATCTTAGTTTGTGTTTTTAAGCATTTTGATTCATTCTATTACCCAATTTCGTCCAAAGTTACCAAAATGCTCAAAACTGCCCAGAAAGTGATTTTAAGGCAGTTTTGAGTGTTTTGGGGCTGTTTTGAGTCTTTTGATTTGTTTGAGTGTTTTTATTGTTTAGTTTTGCATTCTTTGAGTCTAGTTTAGTGTTTCAAACTTTATTTTACATTTTTGAGTCAGTTTCCAAGTGATTTTGCAATCCCTCCTAATCCTCGGTTAAGAACGATCCCTACTTATTTATATACTACAATTGTCACAAGAGGGTTTTAATTTGTGTGCTTACTTAGTTCGCATCAGTTGGGTATAGATCAGAACCAAGTACCGGTTGATAAAGGGAGGTATCAAAGGTTAGTAGGAAGATTAATGTACTTGGCTCACACTAGGCCCGATCTTGCTCATGCCTTAAGTGTGATTAGTCAATATATGCATAATCCAGGAGAACAACATATGAGTGCAGTTATGAGAATATTGAGTAACTTAAAGGGAAACCCTGGTAAAGGAATTTTATTTCGGAAAAATGAGCATTTCAGAATTGAGTGCTATACGGATGCTGATTGGGCAGGATCGACGGATGATAGACGCTCGACATCTGGGTATTTCACCTTTGTTGGGGGAAATCTAGTAACGTGGAAAAGCAAGAAGCAGAATGTCATATCAAGGTCAAGTGCAGAAGCCGAATTTAGAGGCATGGCACTCGGTATTTGTGAACTCTTGTGGCTTAAGTTTCTATTGCAAGATGTGGGTGTCAAACAAGGTCTGCCTATGAAGTTATTCTGTGACAATAAAGCTGCACGGGATATTGCTCATAATCCTGTGCAACATGATCGGACCAAGCATGTAGAGGTTGATCGGTTCTTTATTAAAGAGAAGCTAGATAATAAAGTAATTGAGGTTCCTCCCATAGGAACGGACGACCAAGTAGCAGATATTCTCACGAAGGCGGTTTCTAGTAACAAGTTCTCCAGATTTCTAGACAAGTTGAGCATGTGCAACATCTATGGACCAACTTGAGGGGGAGTGTTGACTTGTATTAGGATTCCTATAATTGTGGGATTCCTACTACAATTGGTTTCCTAGTTTAGGATGTAATTATTCTTTCCCTTATTCTTGCCCATATTTATTCTTTCCCATATCTGTATAGGGTTGTATATATACTTTGTTTTGATATGAAATAAAATTAATACATTGAAAAGCATTCTTTCTTCTTTTCCAACGACTAGTTTTTTGGACCGTTGGATTTCCAATAGTAAAAAAAATTTTGAAATTCAAACCCAGTGCCTAGTGACATGGCACAATCTAGACCGTTCGATTTTCAGATCAACGTTCCAGGCTTTTCGGACAAAAAACATTAAAAAAATGTTAAAAATTATTAAAAATTAAATAACTTGATAAAAAAAATGTTAAAAAATTATTTAAAAATACCAAAATTATACTTTCTAATAATCACTCGTGGCATAACAATATTGGTCAAAAATCCTATTCAAGATTAAAAGTAAAATTATTTTTTATTATTTAAAAATAATAATATTTTAATATGAATTGATCAGGCAATTTAGTTTTAGGGGTGGAGATGCACTTGGTAGTTACTATTCATTGCAGTCAATTACCATTCATTTGGGTGATTGAATTGACTCTTGACTAGGGGTTTTTAGGAGTGGAGTTGCTCTTAACATGCTTCACCTCCTCCCTAGCCGTCCTCACACAAGCTTGACCTCACTCTCTGCCACAAAAAATAATATGAAAACCATTGAATTCACCAGAATCTTCCTCACGAAATGCAAGTTGTTGGAAACCTTGAACTTGTTTATGCCAAATTCCGAAAAAGATCCGAGGCCATGGTAGAGGAAAAAAGATAATGATATTTCTTTAATTTTCTTTTTATTTTTTATTGTTTAATGTAAGATTTTAATTTGGACTTTTTTCTATTTATTCAAAGGATTTTTCATTTTTTTTAAAAGTATAATTAATAATGAGGGCAAATTTGTCCTAAAGGGGTTACGTGAAAGTAAATTAGAACCTTAAGGGGTGTTTGTGTTATGTTTCAAAAGTGAAAGGTTTTGTGAAAACACAATGAACCTGAGGGGATGTTAGTGTAATTAACCCATCCTAAAACTAATTAATTGGAATCCTAGTGTCTAACGTAGACATGTATGTATGCAATGTATGACAAGCGTGTCGGTTGGAAGATGATGTAAATGGGAGAGAGTGGATGAGTGGACTCAAAGGTCTCAATCTGATATGGTCCCCATTGATCCTGCTCCTATGGAACTGACAGATGCCTCCCTTTCTCACGCCTCCCGACTTCTACCCCTCCCCTAGTACTATTTATTGGCCTTTCCCTCTCTTTCTCTCTCATTCAGAGGGAAATTAAACATAAAGCTTTCGTTGCACCCCAAAGGTGAAATAGCACAGTCACACTTCTCTCTCAACCGCTTACTTCATCAGTCTTTTGCACTGGAAAAGAGAGAATACAACAGAACCCTTTCAAGTTTCAACTGATTATCTCTCTCTCTCTCTCTCTCTAAGCTTAGTTTCGATCATTATCATCATCTCTCCCTAGCCCTAGCTTACTCTGTCTGTCTTTTGTGGTCCACAATATATTCATCACCTTTAAACCCTGCATACCCATATAACGTGTCGATCATTTAAAAAAAGAAGACAGCAAGAAAGCATAACCAATTACATCCCAATATGGATTGGAAAACCAGTTTGAGACACCTTGTTTCTCGACCAGAACCTTCCTTTGGCTTCCTTAACAACTATAACTGCTATGACCACTATTCTCCTGGTAATTTATTTTTCATTATTCTGACTTCAGTAATATGTTTTCACCATTTCGACCGGTACTTTCTTCTTTATCTTAGCTAGGGTTTTCCTTTCCTTGAATTTTATTGCTATGGTTTCCACTTAAAGCAAAGCAATTATTCAACCCTGATTTCTTGGACAGGTCACACTTTAATTAGTCATTTAGGTCAAATACAACCTCAAAACACAGAACTATGCAGTCTTACTTAAACATATATCTATATTATATACAATTACATACCCAATGCATTTTTAGCACTCGTTTTAGTTGTCAAAATTCATATAAGACTACAAATATTTGATTTGTTGGGTAATTTTAATTTATTTTCAGGAATGGAGATGAAGCATCAAGCAATGATATCTGAGACATCATCGCAAGGAGGCTTGGTTCCTGGATTAATGGACAGAAATAATCATCAGAGCGGTTATGGGTGCTCTAGTCATGACAAAAAGAAGAGACTGACGAGTGATCAGTTGGAGTCACTGGAGAGGAGCTTTGAGGAGGAGATTAAGCTGGATCCTGATAGGAAGATGAAGCTTTCAAGAGAGCTCGGCTTGCAACCTAGGCAAATTGCAGTTTGGTTCCAAAACCGAAGAGCCAGGTGGAAGGCTAAGCAGCTTGAGCGCTTGTATGACGCTCTCAAACAAGAGTATGATGTTGTCTCCAAAGAGAAGCAAAAGCTTCAAGAAGAGGTAATTCATCTAATTTAATGCCTTTATAATCAATTATTAACCCTTGATTAATCACATGCATTAGTTCTCCCTTTACAAACTTAGCTAAAAACCCATTTATCTATAATGATTTAAAATTTCAAATAATTTGTACAACATTTACTGGCCACACCATTGGCCATTGCATTAACTTAGTGAGTTGTATATACATGGCGTTGTAGGTCATGAAGCTGAAGACAATCCTAAGAGATGAAGTTGCTAGGAAGCAAGTTTCCACCCGCTACACTGAAATCTCTGGTGAAGAGACGGTAGAAAGCACGTCGGTTGCTATTCGAAGCGCTAACAAGGCAGGAGGGAAAAACCAACATCAGATTGCAGAATGCAACTATCTCTACATTAATGTTGAGGAATATAACCCAGTATCACCACCTTTCTGGGGAAATCTGCCTTCTTATCCCTAAGAGGCTGTTCTTGTGCTTGCTCTTGTTCAAGTTAGCTTTAATTTACCAGGGTTTTGCTTTTATTAATTATTAGCTTAGGAAGAGGAACTAGTAGTTTTATCTTCTCCTGTGTCCCTAGGTCACTACTAAGTTAGAGAAATTGACATTTCATTTACCCAAAAGGACGTAATGATCAGCATGACATTTATTAATTTTGTCCACTTCCATATTTTTATAGCATATTCCCCTTTAGATAATGCTTGTGTCCTCCTATGGAGTAACCTACTTATCCTCCCCACTTGCGACTAACGAATCTTTATCGTCTTGTTGACTTTAAAAATTACAAAGTTTACTTGGCGTGCAAGCCGAGTAACTTAATGAGTTAACTACGTCATTCAAAGTTCATTACCAAGCTCGGTAGGAGAATAGTTGAATGTCATGGTGGTGTGATGAAACGCGTTGTTAACTTCTAAAACGAGCGACTTTGGCCGAGGAAGGAATACTCTCGGTTGTAGGAACAAAGATACTCAAAGGAGATGAGTGTCTTAATGGTGAAAGTGGTTCAGCCATCGATATGTTGAACTCTAAATGTCACTTGGGAACGTCCGATCATAAAACACCCCACTTCACCAAGAAAGCTAATGAAATGACCTCGTTCAGCAAAAGAACAGAGACTCTTTGACGCTAGATACTTGGATTTAATCAGTTTAAATAGGAGAACTTGCTATTTAACCAAATTGTCACCTTCGCCAATTGCCCTTGAAAATTTCTGTTTAACCAAATTGTAATCATCCGTTAGTTGCCAACTCCAAATTTATGTAACCAAATTGAATTTGTGCTTACCTGTTAGTGGAGCAGTTACTATTTTCTGAAAAGGGTTGAGAGGGCTCGCATTGAGCGTTGATTTGTGTAGTGAGTTGAAGGTCCTTGTTACGTTGCAATCCCTCTCATATTTATTATGACAAATCGCTTGATGCCCAAGTCTGCCGTACAATTACCATTCCCCAATCATATCTAATTATTTTAGAATTATCCTCACCAATCGTTTATCAACCAAACCTCTATCTCAGCCGAATCACACATGCACTAGGACTCTGAATCTAGTCCCTTTGTGCTTTCAATTCATTCCTTATCCAATCAACAAGTTTCAATCCTTGGAATATTTTAAATCTTATCAAACACATCATGATTCTTCAACCATCATACATCATCCAGGACTCTACCGAAACGTAAGCATGGACGCAGCCACCTTAGGGTCATGGGACGAATGCCCTCTCTCCTTTTTTTTTGGTAGAAAAAATGTGCATACTTGTGACATTAACAAGGTGTATAACTAGTCTACTTGCTTGTGACATTAGCATTAACTCTTTTTCAGTTGCTATTGCCGACATTGAAAGAGCATTTTTGGCAATGAAATTTATGAAGAATCGATTGAGAAATTGGATGGGAGATCAATGGATGAATAATAACATGGTTATTTTGTGGAGAGAGATATTTGATGGTCTTGGTAATGAAGTTGTTATGCAGCGGTTTCAAAACATGAAAATGCGTCAAGGGATATTGCAATTTGTTGTATAAAAAATGTTATGAATTCATATACACTACTACAAAAAAACACTTTGCGTGACGAAATAAGTTTGTTGTGCAAAGTACAATTTCGTCGTGCAAAGATTTTTGTTTTTAAATTTTTAATTAAATTAAATTAATTTAATATTTTGTCATGCAAGGTTTTGCACTTTTTTTTTTATTATTTCTCTTATATTAATTTAATTATATAAATTGTTTGTGCGACGAAATATTTGGTAGTGCAAGATTTTTCGAATTTTTACGTTTTTAATTTAATTTAATTGTATGATTTTATTTTTTTTAATTACTTTAATTTAAATTGACATGTTCAAAATAAAATGACATATGAAAAATAGTGATCAAATTATCCAATACATAATAGATTCAAAATGTACACATAAATTAACAAAGTACAATAATAAAAGCCTAATACAAGTTTATTGTGGTGGTAGTGACGGGAGATATGGTTCGATAGCGTCCTAATCCTCAACTTTAGCCGTCAAAGTCTCGACGATTCCCTACACAAAAACAAACACGGTCAAATAACCAAAAAACAACATAAAATAATACCAAAAAATTGGCATAATCTCCCCTAAAATTGGTATAGCCAAACTCCACCCCTCACCCTATACTTGACCCTAAACCCTGCACCAAACTCAAAATTAACTCCAAAAACACATATTAATAAAAAAAAAAATTTGGGAGAATATACCTTTTGGCAAGATTGAGAGTGAGTGAGAATGAGAGGGAGGAGTGAGTGTGAGAGAATTAGAGGAGAGAGTGAGAGAGAGATGAGATAGTGAGTAAGAGTGAGAGATAGTGAAGAGAGAGAGAAGAGAGATTAAGTGAAAGGAGTGAGTGTGAGAGAGAAGGTCGGATTTGGGGAGAGGGAAAGAGAGATGTGTGACATCCCACATCGCCCAGGGGAGTGATCCTTAAATGTATATTCCCATCCCTACTTAGCACGAGGCCTTTTGGGAACTCACTGGGTTCGGGTTCCGTAGGAACTCCGAAGTTAAGCGAGAAGGAGGCTAGAGCAATCCCATGATGGGTAACCCACTGGGAAGTTGCTCGTGAGTTCCCAAAAACAAAACCGTGAGGGAATGGTAAGCCCAAAGCGGACAATATCGTGCTATGGTGGTGGAGCGGGCTCGGGAAGTGATCCGTCCCGGGTCGGGATGTGACAATTTGGTATCAGAGCCTAACCCTGGTCGTGTATGTGCCGACGAGGACGTCGGGCCCTTGAGGGGGGTGGATTGTGACATCCTACATCGCCCAGGGGAGTGATCCTTAAATGTATATTCCCATCCCTACCTAACACGAGGCCTTTTGGGAGCTCGCTGGCTTCGGGTTCCTTAGGAACTCCGAAGTTAAGCGAGAAGGAGGCTAGAGCAATCCCATGATGGGTGACCCACTGGGATGTTGCTCGTGAGTTCCCAAAAATAAAACCGTGAAGGAATGGTAAGCCCAAAGCAGACAATATCGTGCTACGGTGGTGGAGTGGGCCCGGGAAGTCGTCCCACCCGGGCCGGGATGTGACAGATGAGAGGTAAGAGAATAAAGAAAGATATTGAGAAAATTGTGGAGTTATTTTGGTTTTAAAAACCCTATCACTTTGCTCGGCGAAAGATACAAGTTTGGGCGACGAAATATTAGTCGCGTAAAGTCTTAAAAAAAAATATTTCCCACGTCCCATTTTTGGTGCTTGCCCAAATTTTTAGAGTTTTGCACAACGAAGTGTTGGTCGCACAAAGTTTTGTGTGACGAAGGATTGGTCGCGCAAAGTCTAAAAAAAAAAATTTTTTTAAATTCCAACTTCCCTTTTTTTGGCTCCCACCAAAATTTATGGATTTTGCGCGACGAAATATTGGTTCGTTGCGCAAAATTTATAAAAATAATTTTTATAAATAATAAAAAAGAAAATAATTATATTTTGCAATTTAAAATATAAATAAATTAAAATAAATAAGGTTTAGGCGACCAAATATGTATTCGTCGCACAAAGAAAATAAAGAAATAATTTTGTAACATCCCACATCGCCTAGGGGAGTGGATCATGTAAACCTTATATGTATATTCTCATCTCTACCTAGCACGAGGCCTTTTGGGAGCTCACTGGCTTTAGGTTCCATCGGAACTCTGAAGTTAAGCGAGTTGGGGGCGAGAGCATTCCCATGATGGGTGGCCCACTATGAGTTCCCAGAAACAAAACCGTGAAGGCGTGGTAGGGGCCTAAAGAGGACAATATCGTGCTATGGTGGAGTGGGGCCAAAGATGTAGTGGGGGCCTGGGCCGGGATGTGACAGTTTGGTATCAAAGCCTAGGTTTGGCAATCCTGCATATTTGGTGAATATTCTAATTATTTTGGTGTCTTCTGTCAAAACTATGCTGCCTCATAGAAAGCCACGTCGTTCAACTGAGCTTAGTTTTCCCGATATAGCTCAGTTTAGGGAAGCTATAGCTCATGTTATTCAGTCCTCACTTCACCCTCCTCAGAGGACTCCCTTGGAGACTATGTATAACTTAAAGTTAGATAAGTTTGAGGGTTATGAAGGAGCAGAGCGGTGGCTTGAGCATCTTGCAAAGACTTTTCGAGTGATGCAAAGTCAAGGGAATCTTCCTTCTGAATGGTGGGTCAAGACGACTACATGGTTCTTAGGTCAAGAACCAGCATCCTGGTGGGAACAGAAGGTTTATCAGTTGACCTCATAGGAAATTGTTGACTGGGAAGTGTTTAAACGGTTGTTTCAGAAAAGGTTTATTCCCCCTTAGTATATTGATCGCAAGTAGCAACAGTTTACTCAATTGAGACAAGGGAAGATGACGGCGAATGAGTATTATAGGAGATTCACTGACTTGTCTCGTTATCATCCGGATGTTACTGCCAATCCGGTTGAGATGCTCCGTCGTTTCAGATTGGGCACTAAGAAGAAGTGGCGTTCTATGGCAACCACTACTCCTTGTGCTTCTTACAAGGAGTTCTATGAGATTTTGTTGAGGATTGAGGATTCAGAGAATATCCCTAGTGAAAGTGAGGAAGAAGAAAATGACGGCAATCAGAAGAGAGATGACAAAGGTAAAGGTCAATCATCTCAAGGACCTCGCAAAACTCAGAGCTTTAAGCAAAGTCGAGCTAGTTCCAGTTCTTTCAACGGGGGTTTTAGTGCCACTGGTCAGGGAAGAGGTGGTAGATTTTTTAGGGGTCCTAAATTCCAGAGGCAGGGGAATGCTAGTAGAGGAAGAACTCTGTTGTGCCGCAGATGTAACAATAGGCATTTTGGAGAGTGCAGGCGGGGCAGTAGTGGATGTTTTACTTGTGGGCAGATGGGATGTAAAGCTATAAATTGTCCTCAGAATCAGCAGAGGCCCCAACAGCCTTCATTTCCACCACCAATGCCGATCCAGCAAGTTCCAGGGTCTGGTAGTTATGGTAGATGGGTCATGGTGGTGCTTACCATTATCAGGGTGACACCGTTCCTTATGCTTTAGGGCAATATCAGTATTCCCAGGATCCTTATTATCAGAGTAGGTATCCTCAGTATTCTGGAGGTTATATGTCGTATCCTCCCATTCTAGCCGGTAGATCTCAGTGGTATCAGGGAGGACAGCCCCAGCAAAGAGAGATTGCTTCCAGTAGTGTAGGATC